CGCCTGCTGCTGCCCCGCCCCCTGCAGCCCGGCGTCCCCTGCTGTCCCCTGCCCCGCTCCCTGCAGCCCAGCGCCCCCTGCTGTCCCTCTCCCTGCTGTCCCCGCCCCCTGCTGTCCCCGCCCCGCTCCCCGCAGCCCAGCGCCCACTGCTGGCCCCCCATCCTACCCCCTGCAGCCCAGCACCCCCTGCTGAGCCCCCCGCACCTCCTTGCAGCCCAGCGCCCCCTGCAGCCCAGCACCCCCTACCTCCCAAGATTTCTCTTGTCCTCTGCTGCAGATCCTTGGGCCGGTGCTGGTGGTCCTGTCCTTCCGGACCGCCAAGGAGGCCGTGGCACTGGGGAACAACCGCCCCTCCGGGCTGGCAGCCAGCGTCTGGACCGAGAACCTGCCCCTGGCCATGGAGGTGGCGCAAAGGTTAGTTCTGAGCCCACGGTCCGGCTCCCCCCACCCCACCCCGTGAATCCGCTCCCAGAGCCGCAGGGATCCGGTTCAGGTTTCCACCCCTCTGCCAAGGAAACTTCAGTCCCAGGGCCACAGGTCTCCCCCGGGCCTGTCTGTCCACCCCACTTGGTTACGCTCGAATCTCCGGGGTCACAGCGCCCCAATTTCACTAGCGTCCCTTGAGTTCAACCCTCGCTCGAGCGCTCGGCACTGGGAGGTCCTCGCCGTAAAACCAAAGCAAAGTTTATTGGCCGCGGCAGAAGACGAAGATTCACGGAGAAGCCAGCGTGGCAGAATCCGCTTTGCATTTGGATATCGTGTAGACGCACGGCACCCGTGTCGGTTTGATTTTTGAATTCACTCTCACAGGCAGACTTATGGGGTTTAAGCGGGTTCTGGGGGTTTCTCTTTGGCTGGATTGACACGTTCCCAGTCGCGCGGGGGCGCTGGCCGACCGATATTTAACGCCCCGCAGCCGCTGAGATCTAGAGTTACAGTCTGAACCCGTGAGGCAGTCTACAGCGGAAGCCAGCTCCCCCGCGAGGGTTTTCACACGTGGCCTGGCCCTACGCTTCGACTGCTCTCGGTGGAAAATCTTTCCGTGGCTTGGTGCGGGCGGGCGGCTTGGTGCGGGTGGGCGGCGTTTGCAGATGGAAAAACCCCTCCTCCCCCACCTGCCTGCGCCTTCCTCCTGGCTCAGGAGAGATTTCGCCCCCAAGGGTCAGTCCGGGCGGCGCCTGGCCAGCCGAGAGAAGAGAGATCCTTGGCTAACCGGCCGGAGACGTGTTCCCAGGGGCAGATCCGTTAGAGAAAGAGCCGGGCTGGATTTCAGAATTGCCCGTGATGGAGAATCGCCCGCGAGCCTGGGGAAATCGTGCCCGGGGTTAATCACGGTCACCGTCAGAAACTGACGTCTTGTTTCCAGCCTGAGGGCGTCGCGCCCCGACGCCCAGCTGCTGGCCCCCGATTCTGCACGTTGGTTCGATTTCTGAGCTTCCACTCGGTCCCCCGCTTTCCCGGCTTTTTCTCGGTCTCCCAAGACGAGCGGCGAGTTTGGTGCGTTCTGTCAGACCCCGCAGCGGGGGTGTGGGGGATCTCGCTGGGGAAACGCACCCATTTGTCACTGTGGGGCCAGCCTGGGGTCCCTGGGCTCTGACCAACCCCTCCCTTCTCCCCCCTCCCCGATCTCGCTCTCTGTTGCAGCCTGCATGTCGGCACCGTCTGGATCAATGGGCAGAACCTGTTTGACGCGGCCGCGGGCGTCGGGGGAACCAAGGAGAGTGGGAACGGCTGGGATGGAGGCAAGGAGGTGCGTGGGGCCGGGCCGGGAAGGGGGAGATATCAGGCTGGAGGGCCCATGGGGCTCACTTGTCCCTTCCTTCCCCTCCCAGGGTCTGTACGAGTATGTCAGACCGAGCTGGCAGAGCCGGCCCCGGCCAGGCCCCGCGGAGCTGGACTACAAAACGTTTGCTGCGTCCTCTGGGGCCGCCCCGCCCCCCGTTCCCGGGCACAGTGGGGTCGCCCGCCCCGAACTGGAGGAAAACATGCCAAGGTACTAACGACTCCTGGTCTTCCAGACCTGGCGCCCCTCGCCCGGTGCTGGGACGCGGCCCCTCTGGGGTGGGGCGCGGGGGCTCGGTACACGGGGACCCCTCGCCTGGCGCTGGGACGCGGCCCCTCTGGGGTGGAGTGCAGGGGGCTCATTATACAGGGACCCCTCGCCCGGCGCTGGGACATGGCCCCTCTGGGGTGGAGCGCGGGAGGCTCGTTATACGGGGACCCCTCGCCTGGCGCTGGGATGCGGCCCCTCTAGGGTGGGGTGCGGGGGCTGGGTACACGGGGACCCTTCGCCCGGCGCTGGGACGCGGCCCCTCTGGGGTGGAGCGCGGGGGGCTCGTTATACGGGGACCCCTCGCCTGGCGCTGGGATGCGGCCCCTCTGGGGTGGGGTGCGGGGGCTGGGTACACGGGGACCCTTCGCCCGGCGCTGGGACGCGGCTCCTCTGGGGTGGAGCGCGGGGGGCTCATTATACAGGGACCCCTCGCCCGGCGCTGGGATGCGGCCCCTCTGGGGTGGGGCACGGGGGCTGGGTATACGGGGACCCTTCGCCCGGCGCTGGGACGCGGCCCCTCTGGGGTGGAGCGCGGGGGGCTCGTTATACGGGGACCAATGTTCCCTCTAAATTTTTCCATCCACGTGCGGACTGAATTTTGTTCTGTGAAGCACCACTAGGGAGGTGACATGCGGCTGTGCGCCATCACCTCCGTACTTTCGGGCACCCCTTATCCCCCCGCGAGGTCGCAGCTCGTCCCTAGCTGGGTCTCAGGGAAGGTCTGTCTTCGGGTGACGTCTGCAGCACCTATCAGTTCATTCCTCCAGCCTCCTTCCACGAGGATGAAATGCAGCCACCTCTGGGGAGGGAAATCAGCAGCCAGCTAGCACAGAGAGCCCCGGGCAGTCGTTTGGAAAGAGACAGGGAATTTTGGATAGGAAGCGTCTTTTCCTCTTATGCAAAATGCTGGAGCTATTTAATGTTCAGACGGGGCTTCAGCTGTCAAAGTCTCCTCTGGAGGTAAAATATAATACGGCCACGTTTGAAATCCAAGTAAACGTTTCTAAATCAAGACATTAAGGCTTAAAATAATTATAAAAAACTCAACTTCCCTCCTCCTGTATTAACAATATGAAGCACTTTAAAAGCCCCGTTCGCTATTCGTGTTTTCCGCTGGATTAGCTCGGCCAATGAGTCAGGTTCACCTTTGGATCTCCTGCCCGCACACAATGTCCCAGTGTCTCGGTTATTGCAGTGAAACTCATAGGTCGCTATGTTTGCACGGCACTTTCCAAACACGTGGGCTCGGGCAGACTTTCACTTGACGTGACATTTTTCTCACACTCCTTTCCGTGAGAAAAGCTCTGCAGGGTCAGGCCTGTAGGTAAACCCCGTCTCCTGCTGCCTGTGATGACGTGGGAATGTTCTTAATGTTTTCTCGGAATACTGGATGGGTGCCTCAGTTTCCCCTATGCAGTTCTTAGGTGGGGGGAGGGTAAGAGGGTGTGATTGTTGTAAAGCCCTAGAGGGAGGTGTGATGGTGTTTGCACAGAGAAGGGCCGAAGCCCTGTCTGCTGGCAACTGATGGCCTGGGCCCCTCCCCTGCAAGGTGCCAACTGAAGGTGTTGGAGAACAAAGAGATCAGGTGGCTCCTGGCCGGGAAAGAGACAAAGGCCAGAGGAGGGGGTGTCAGTTTGGAGCTGGCTGGGGAAATGGAGGGAGGCGCCGACCCGGGATCTGGGCTCCCCACCCCCCAAGAGGGACCTGACTGAGGGGTCCTGTTCTCTGTACCTACAAGCTCTGTTCTAGACTGTCTTCCTGTCGGCTAAGAAACCTCCAATGTTACTGGCTGGCTGAGAGTCCCGGTGAATTGCAGGAAGTGGGGGGTGCAGGGCCCTGACTCCCCCCGCACTCGGTGACACTGCCCATGAAAAATTTTGCAAACACGGGGAGGGGGAGTTTAAACCCAAGGGGGATGGTTGTCGTTGGAAATCAGACACAGACGTTTCTGTTTTGGTCATTTCCATTTAAAACACAAACCGAAAAGCCAACGCTCTTTAGCGCTTTGCGTTTGTAAATCTCAAAGGGGTTTACAGCATTGTTCCCCTCTGGGAAATGGGGAAACTGAGGCACCGTGGGGGGTGAGGTGACTTCCCAAGGCTGCACAGAAACTCAGTGGCAGAGCTGGGGAAAGACCCAAAGTCTCTTCATTCCCCAGGCTCCGGGGCTGCGGCGGGGACTCCTGTCCCTGCTGCAACCCCGGGGCTGGGGCTGGGGGAAAGGCGTCTCTCCCCCCCCCGCATAGCCCTGCATGGCCCAAGTTCCCCCAAAGCCCCATCACCACCCCCCTACCTCACCCCACTGCTCCCGCCCACCTGACACATGCTCCACACTCACCCGTGTGTGCACCTTAGAGGGAACACAGACGCGGATCCCTCGTCCAGCGCCGAGATGCGACCCCTCTGGGGTGGAGCGCGGGGGCTGGGTAGACAGGGATCCCCAGCCCGGCGATGGGACGCGGCCCCTCTGGGGCGGGGCGTGGGGGCTTTCCAATGAGCGTGAGGGTTCAGGGATCACCTTGCCCCCCCTCCCTCTTGTGTCTCTGCAGGGTGGACAGGACCTACAAGCTCTACTACGGAGGGGCTCAGAAGCGACCCGAGGGAATGGCCTCGCTCCCCGTCCTCGACCCTGCCGGCAACGTGCTGGCGTACGTGGCGGACGGCAGCGCCAAGGACATCCGTAACGCTGTGGAGGCTGCTCACAAGGCCGCGCCGGGGTGAGATGGGGAGCAGCTCGGGACGCCTGGGTTCTCTCCCCAGCTCTGGGAGGGGAGTGGGGTCTAGTGGCTAGAGCGGGGGGAGCTGGAAGCCAGGACTCCTGGGTTCTCTCCCTGTCTCAGAGGGGAGTGGGGACTAGTGGTTAGAGCTGGGGGGGCTGGGAGCCAGGACTCCTGGGTTCTCTCCCTGGCTTTGCCCCTGAACTCGCAGTTTCCCCTTCATGCCTCAGTTTCCCCGTGTACCGAGCGAGATCGCTGCTCGCCGTATGAGGCCTGGCTGCAGTTTGGGGCCCTCTCTGAGTTCCCAGGCCAGGTGGTGCCAGCCTGGAGCAAAGTGTCACCCGCTTTCTGGCCCACTGCCAGGTGAAGATAAACTCCCCACTCCCCGGCCTCGCCTCTCTTATCTCTCCCTCACCAGCACAGGCGGCCAGAGTCCCTGAGAACCCCGGCTTATCACGGCTGGGACCTGCCCGGAATCTCACGCTGTTGGGGAATGATTTCCTCATCATCGGGGAGCCGGGGGGAGGGCGGGGGCGGGGAGCGCGTCCCATAGAGCTGAGATCTGATCAAACTGGGGGAGAATAATTTCTGCCTAAATTTTCCAGGGAAAATGACAATTTTGTTGTTTGGGGCGAAAGCTGGAGAAGTTGGGATGGTTTTGGCCGCCTCCCAGAAAGGGACCTGTTGGCTGCTTCCGGGGCGCAGCATGGTGCCAGGACAGATAGGGACTAGCCTGCCTTAGCCCTGCGGCACCGCTGACCGGGATCCGCCAGGGTCCCTTCTCGACCAGACAGCCGTGGTGCATCATGGGAGTTGTAGTTCTCTAGGGCGGGCGGGCTCCCTTCCTGGACTATGTCTCCCCCAGCAGGGAGCCACGCCCCCGAAGACCCCCACCTGCTCTGACCTACGGGGAGTTCCCTTCCTAGCCCTGCTTTGCAGCGGCCCCCCAATGCACAGGGCCGTGCCCAGTGCTGCTGAGTGACGGCCCCTGAAATTCGGGGGGGCCTCGGACGGGGGCGTTGGGGATTCGACCTCCGGGCTGGTGGGGAAAAGCGGGGCCAGGAGCAGGGCCGGCTTTAGCAAGAGCTGGGCCTGATTCCTGGGGGCGGGGCTTGCTGCAAGCCCCGCCCCCAGGAATCAAGCCGCGCTTCGGCCGGGGTTGCCGGGCTTGGGTCCGACCCGGAGCCGCGCTGCGGGGGCTGGGCTGGAGCCGCGCCGCGGGGGCCGGGCCGGAGCCGCGCCGCGGGGACCGGGCCGGAGCCGCGCCGGGCCAGAGCCGCTGGGGC